CCGGAATAGAGTTTTACTTAAACTTTAGTGAGTACCCAATTATTAATATTTTAGACATTAAAAATAATATGCCTACTGCCTAGTGCGTTATAAGCTTTTAATCGGTTTGGTTTTAATATTTAAAGCTGAAATACTTTATACTTCATAATTTATGTATTCACGAGTTTTAAAGTTTTTTTCTAAAAATGAAATTGAGTTTTCCGAAAGTATAAATTCTAGAAAGAAAATATATGTCCTTCTTACATGTGACAAGTACATGGAGTGTAAACGGCTGAACATGATTGTGTATACCTATACACAAATGTGGATTATATGTCTGTTTTATGCATTCGTGGGGCCCATATCTATGTAGATTTGTAAAACTGTCTGTTATTTCTTTAAACAATTTTGATATTATTATGTTAAAAAAAAAAAAAATAGAAAAAACAATATAGCTACAAGCATTATGGTGAAAATTTACATATATAGTGTATTTGGTAATTCGATAGGGGTGTTTACTTGTCGGTATTTTCATTGATTTCCAAGTTATTTAGTTAATGCGGTATCTACTATATATAGACATTAAATTCATGTAAAATATGAATTAAAAAAAAATTAATAAATAAAAAAATAATAATAATTTACGAATAAAAAAATAATGTTTTATGCAATGAAATTGCAATTTATTTCTTTTTACATGCTTTTCTTTAACTCGCAATGTTTCATTCATTCATTTCTGTTGTCATCAAATCATGCGAGTTCAATTTAAGTCACTTCTACATGACCTAGAAGGCTCAAATTTTGTATGGAGGTCTAGGATCGGTGACAATACAACACCCAGTTGTCAAAAAAAAAAAAAAAATTAAAATTAAAAAAAAAATAATTTTTTTTTAAAAACATGCTTTTCTTAATACTACAATTTCTTAGTGAAACTTCAAGGTTATCAAAATATTACTAAAAGTGTTTCTAAAATGTATTTGTTGCAAAATTTTTAAAACTTGTGAATTACAAAAAAAACGAAAAGCATGGGGCACTTATGATAACTTCTATGTAAAGTCAATCTACAACTGAATCATTAAATAAACTTTATGATAGTTAATATTTTAAAGATTATTGATCATACTTCCAATTTTGTAAGAGATATTCTTGACTCATAGGAGCCCCATGCATTTCGTTTTTTTTTGTAATTCACAAGTTTTAAAAATGTAACAAATACATTTTAGAAACACTTAGTAATATCTTGATAACCTTGAAGTTTCATTAAGAAATTGTTTTAAAAGTAAGTTTATTTTCAACTTTTTCGTTTATGTATTAAGAAAAGCATGTTTTTTTTTCTTAGATACTTATGCACTTTGATTTTGAAGTATTAAAATCAATATAATTTTTACTGCGCAAGAAATACATATTATTATGCCACGCATTTATCTATGATAATAATTACAGTTTAACAACATTAAATACCATTCCCTCATGAGTTTATTGCGAATTATTCGAGGAGAAAAATATTGTATGGGGGCTAATGGATAAATGTTATCTTTTAAACGACCAAAGTTATAAGTCCCTAGAGACTTTGCGGTATTATTTGAGAGTTTGTGAAGGCGAATACGGATGGACAATAGAAAGTCAAAACTAACTTTACATTATAGACTATTTGCAATTATATTTAACAATTTATAAAACCATAAAAATCGGCTGGTTATTTCATTCCTATAGTCCCAAAAGAGTCGTTAATCTTCAACGACACACGACAGCGCCCATATTCACGTAATATGCGTATCGAGGCTGAAAAAAGTGGTTTACGTGACTTGTATACGTATACAGCTCTTATATAGCCATATAACGCTATGGTGACGATGTCAGTTCACGTGGACAGCTGCGGTCTTGATGGTGCGGAGGGTTTTTTTCCCATCATGTACGGTAGCTAATTTCACTGAAAGCTCTCGTGTGTTGAGACTTATGGCCGAGCATATAGTGTTGAAATACTAGTGTCTACCGGCCGAGGTTTATGGCAATTTATGTGCTGTTGGTCGGTAAAGATCCCTCGTTTTGGAACTTTGAATTATTGAAGAATCGCCAACCTACCCTATAACGAAAACGACCCTCCTTGGCAACCGCGGCGCGTGGTCACGATTTTCATCCCTCGTATCGCACTAAACTCGAGGATTCTTACGTACGGTTTTGTCGTTAGAGGATAAAAAATAAAAGCGTACTTTGGGTAAGAGAAACGGGAAAAAACTTCTTTCACGCACATGCACGCATCGTTCCGGGGGGAATCGTTCTGTCCATCATCGTTGCCGGGAGAACGTCCCTTGGGGAATTCGTGTTACTCCGTCCCTGGAAACATGTTATACACTATACTCTATACTATATAACGACGTCGCGATTGTTGATATTAGATAAAAGCTTAATACGAATATGTTGTCTGCGTTGAGACGAGGGATAGAAAGAAACCACTCGCAATGCTATAATAATATATAACCTGCGATATTAATTAATATTTACTTAACCAGTTTTTGTACATAGCAGTTATACATTCATTATCGAATAATATAATATGAACTATTGAACGGTTTTAAATAATATAGCTAATTAATATTAATAATATTAGTATGTGATATTAAAGCTGAATATCGATTTAAAAGGTAAATGAGTTGAATAGTTTTTCAAAGTACCTAGTACATAATATATATACCTATTATCATTATTAAATGTGTCCCTTAACTAAAATACGTATCAAACATAATATAAATATGATATTTTGAGTTTATAAAGACAAAATAATATACGATTTATTAATGATAGGTACCTATATACATTTATTTATTCTACTTGTAGTTAATTTTATTTTAGATTTTAATCTACTAGATAATAATAAATTGTTCGTTTTAAATAAAATATACAGATTAGACAATATAAAAAAAATATACTGACTATAATACTGGCGTATCATTTAATTTTAAACATATGAATTTATTAGCTATTTTATTTTTAATGTTTAAAAATTAAAATTTTATCGAAGAGTTCAAGGCACACAATAGCATTCAGATATTACGTTGTAGAGTAAAAAAAAAATAATCGAGTTTTGGTAAATCGTGTGGTAAAAAAAGATTATAAATACACTCAGGTATCTTCTAGGCAGCTTTAAATTTAAATTATTAATTTATATTGTAATTTGTAGCTAAAAAAATTTTCTAATAGGTACAAGTAGTTTAGCTTGTTTCTTACCTACTTATATATATATATTAGTAATTAATACACCAATTATTAGTGTAGGTAACTATAATGTATAATTATCACAACAGGTAGCCGGTAGGTAGTAATAATTTTCAATAAGAATATTTTGTTGTAAGGTGTTTCAATTAGTGTTAGAAATCGCGTGTTTATCAACCATAAGCATATTATAGATACCTACCTACCTACACATACCTATCATAATAGGCTTGTAGACCATTTATTTATCAATTTATATATGCCACATTCTGAGTAATAAATAATAGTAATTAAATAGTTGATTTCTAACTATCATCATTATATTGTGTTTTAAATTGTAAATAATAAATAATATATAGTCGATTGAATTTACATTACGATAGTTATACACTTGTAAGTTGTATTACAGTTTATGATAGTGAAAAATAAGTTTAATGAGATACGCATTAAAAATTTGATTAAAAGATTTCGAGGAACCTGGTGATTTGAATCGGGGGCCCACTACGTTCATATACCTTACGAGAATAATTAATAAATCTACAACATAAATTATGTCACATAATATTATTTAATAGTTAATATATAGTAGTATAATTAATTTTCAAACCTTATATAATATGTAAATGAAGTCATCTAAACATTAAATGGGTTTGGTTCACGCAGGGGCTGATCTAAAGCTTATCTAAGGAGAGGGGGTGGGACGAATAGGGATATTTATGAATTATGAGTGACATAATATACAATGTGATAGAATGAAAACATGACATGTATTATTTGTTGTATATTCATGCATGTCGGTGAAAATAATTCTTGACTTCTTTATATTATGATAAAATCTAATTCTTATAGCATACATGATCACTGGAAGAGAAATCGACAGAAAGGATTGAAAGTCCTTGTTTAAAACGTAAATTTTTCATGAAGTCTACTCGAGATAAACTTTCCCAAATTTTCGAATATTTTTACTCCGAATATTTTAATATGACAACTTTTTAATTTCTTCTTTTAAATATAATTATTTTTATGATTTAGGGGGATAAAATCAAAAATGTGGAAAGGTAATCTCAAGTATAGACTTGACGATATATTAAAATATATTTTCAGAATTCTTATCGCTTCCCTAGATCAATTAGTGCATTTTAAATATAACAATACAACCTATATTCTTTTGTTGCTCTTATTTTTGACAAAAAATGAACATCACTGCTTTCAATCTTACAATCCCCTTAAGACTAAAACAATCCACCAAGGTTATCAGCTGTCACAGAATATCAACTGATTAAACATAATAATATTTTTAATATAAAATAATTTAGTAATATTCATAGATTAGTAAACGTTGGCAACGTTTTATAAAGGAGCAATTATGTTTGCTAAATACACGATTTCAGATAATCATAGGTATACAATAAATCTAAATTTAAATCGTGGCTTTTATGATAATTATTAATGTTAAGTTGCAATGGGGAAGACCTCATAAATCCACCACTGGGTTCACGGGTTTTTGGGCTTTTACAATTTAACTACGGAAAATACTTTACTATGGTTCATATGATTAACAATATATTATGATAGAGGTCATATTTGAAACAATTTGAAAAATAATAAGAATTTAGTAATTCATAAATATGCATGCTATTTTTAAAAACTTAATTAATTTCTTGGTTTTCTGCTGCGGGGATTAATACAAGTTACCATACTTGTTAATACAGATATAATCTAAATATATTCGTGTCTTTATGTAATCTAAATTTGGTATACTATATTATGCGTATTTATCAAATATTTTGAATTATTTATTTTTTAGTAATATGTGGACTCCTGTAACGTTTACAAGCGACAATAGCGTTCCACCATCAAGATCCAAGCACAGCGCTGCTGTTCATGGTAACCACATTTATGTGGTTGGCGGTCGAAATGGCAATTGGCCCCTGAAAGACATATGGAGATACGCCCTGTGTAAGTATGGCACGTAGTCTGAATACAAATTGACTCTAATTTCATTTTGACGTAACGTACAACAATCGAATTACAATTGCTTCCGTGATTAATTTGTTAGAATAAGGGGGGTTTGTATTTTTTTTAGTGCTTACGTATAATTATATTATATTTAATTAAAAAAGTAAGAATTTATTTTTAAAATATTTTTTTTCCCAAGAAACTTTTATTTCGGTTACGTTTGTGTACGTGGATAAATGTTTATATTCATTTTTCGACAATTACATTAATATATTTTTGCAATGGCATCTATGTTGTGACTACTATTATTATCATTGTAGAACTAAAGTACCTATATATGAAATAATGCTAAAGCAATTTAAATTGGAGGTCTTATATATAACTTGTGGTTGAAAATTGTAGAATATAATAGTTTTGAGCTCAATACACTTAATATAATAGAACTTTTACTCGGATTATAAAATTTGAGTGTAAGTGTTCTTGAATTATAGTACATAATATAGTGTGGTGGTCATTGTATGTTATATTTGTCTGGAAAATAAAATAGTAATAATTGAAAAGTTATCCATCGTTTTTTTTTTGTTTTAGTTAAGATATTCCATTTTAATATTTTGTTAAATGTTACAAATGAAAACATGTGTGATAAATATGACACGAATAATTATACATATTCATTTTATCTAATTGCATTTGAAAAACATCGACAAAAAATATAATCCATAGATATAATTGTTTTTATTCTATCTGTTTTATTTGTTTAAAATTGACGATTTTATAGATATTATATACTAAAATTATAACGGTAACTATAAGTATATACTTATTACTTATACTGTTATTCACATTTAAAATAAAATTATTAAGCACCTACCTAATATTTCAAGAAAATGATATAAAGTTTTTTTTTCAAATACATAGTTCACGGGGGTAATCCATACGATTAATGTAATGTATTGCATAATATTATAGCTTATATTATTCACAATATTCCTCTTTCGTTTTCTGAATTCCAGCGAATAACACCTGGGAACAGTTGCACCCGACAGGAGATTCATTGCAAAATTTGCAAGAACATACAGCAGTCGTTTATCAAGACAAGGTATACGTTTTCGGTGGAGAAGTTGGGTTTTCGTCTGCCTCTGAGTCTCCACTATGGTCCTACAGTATTAAGGTAATGCATACTGTGTGAAACGAAGAACCCTTACAAGATGAAGTATATTTAATAATATATTAACATATCCATGTAGGTTTGCAATATAGTCTTTAGAGTATAGAGATATATTATAATAATTATTATATTAATAGTTATTGTCTATATTATAAATCATAATATGTTTGATATTGCTTTACCTTACAATAAGAAAATATATTTACATACCTAACCAGTTGAATACAAATGATAATCTAATCGTCTTAAATAAAAAAGTGATTGATTTTTTTTAAAAAAACCGAATTGGTTTCTAAGTGATGTTGAAATTGTCGTTACTTGCACTGACATTGATAAATTGTTTCTCGCTGCACATACATTTTGAACAGTAGTTTTTTCCGGAATAAATAAATAATTACGCATATACTTCTTAGTTCTGACTAGGTAGTGACTAGGTTTATAAAATAAATAGAATAAAATTACTAAAGTAAAAAATGAAATCATGTCAGAAAGAGGTTAAGTTTTATTTTATTAAATATATTATTATAGTTAATGTTTAAAAAAAAAATTATCTTTTCAAAAAACCTAAATACTTTAACATAAGTAATGAATACACCCGTCGATGGTTGGTTAATTTAATTAGTTATATCTAGTTAGATAGGTACTTAAAAATAATAACCAATTAGCATAATAATTAAACCCCCATTTTGTAATAATAATTTTGCAAATTATAATATATTATATTTCAATATACACTATAATCGTTATAAAACGAATTTCTAACTCAACAATGTGCTTTAAGTATTATAAAGCACAAACAATTCCACGAATAGTAATTTATAGCGGAGGCGTTATTATTATTTTTTATAAATGAATACAAAATTGTATTGGTTAAAAATATTTTATATTTCATTTAAATATGACCAAAATAAGCGGATAACACAGTTAATAATATTGGAAACTTTAAAGTACAATTACAAAATAAATTAAATAATTTTGAATTTAATTTGGTAATATATTTTGCATACTTGCAGGAATATCCATTATGTCTTCCGAAGTTGGGATATTAGGTAATCGTTGATTCATCTGATTACGTAGTTCTTTTTCCATTTTTTGTGCATCTTCAGTGTTTAATGGCAAATTCTTTAAATATTTTAGAATTGCGGATTTGAATTGCTGTCTATATTCCTTTACACGTTTGATTTGATCCTCCATCGCACTATCGTCTTCCTTGAAACTTACGAGATGATTAACAAGGTTTTTCATAGAAGCTTCGTCGATATTCGATTTGTTGCTCATACTTTTCAGGTTTTCTGTAATTTTCGATCTATCTGCCATGGACTTTGTCATGTACGTTATCATGTCAGCCATTTCGGTAGCCATTTCATATTCCAGTGCTTCAGTTGATTCATTGTTAGTAAAATCTAACTTAGTTGAATCTTCAGACACATCCGTGGAATTATAGGTGGTTTCGGTGGTAGGATCTTCCAACATTTCATTTGGGGTAGACTCTTCTGAAATTTCGGGGTTGTTGTCGATGTCTGACACGCTTCGTGTATTGGCGATGGTGAAGACTAATGAGAGTGTAACGGCGAAGAAAATTAAACGATTCATGATTGTTTTAATACTTTCGGTTTAATAATTTTAGATGCTCTGTAAAATGGTTACTGACGAATGTAATTGGCAATGCAAAGTTTTAAAACTTATATACTAGATAATAGTTGACACAGATGGCTATTGGTCAAACATAAACCTATATTCACGGGACTCATTTGGTTTAATGACTTTTTAAATTTACTTAACGTTTTTTAAAGAGTAAAAATGCTTCCTCTAATTAGTTTGCGTTTGTTTACATAGCTGAAAATATAAGCATTTAATTATCGTACTTAATATTTTAATTACCATCTATAGTAGGTATTTTGTTGATGTATGGTTTTTATACACTTTATTCGGTTTTAATTGGTGGTTTGTATTTGCAATTGATATGCTATATACAATTATTAAAACGCGTGTTAAATACACAGTAATATACTTATAAGTTATATATATTACTTTTTAATAATAGTTTAATGAACACGCTTTATAGTTAAAAAATTACGTATTCAAAATAAAAGTAAAAATAAATATCAAATATTGACAATTAGTTATATTGTCAAATAAATTAATTTATTAATTTGTGGAGGGTTCTGGATGTATAAGATGATAATATTACTCTGTTAATATTCTGAAAATAAGTAATTTTTATTTTACATATCGTTTGTATGATAATATTTTGAAGATTATATAATTAAGTACAATATCTAAAATACTCTTATTATATAGTAGGTAGTTATGTAAATAATGGTCTTAAATGTTGTTGATATATTATTCAATGAACACATACACACATTCATATAAAGCAACGATATTATTATATGTATAGAGTATATTATATCTTAAAGATTTTTCCCTTTAGTATAATAATTACAAATTTTAAAAACAATAAATATATATGTATTTAAAAATATTTTAAGCTGTTTATAATATTCTCAAGACTGGGTTGTCAACTATAATAGGCTATAATAGTCAATTATCATTAATTTAATTTTAGAAACAAACATTTATGTATGGAATATGGAAAATAGCAAAAACACTAGGATTTTTGGTTTTTTTCGTTTTATTGATAAAACTGTAATATTCTTAGGTAGGTAGCTACTATTAAATCACAACAAGTATTTTTAATATTTTAAACTTTCATATCAGTTATTACTCGAATGATTAATGGATGAAAATTATGAAATCCTTCAGCAATCTTTACTTGGTTTTTTTACATAAAATGTGCTGCAACTGTGCAATAATCTGAATATATTTTCCTGTCAAAGCCCATCTTAAAAGCTCGTTGGACATTATTTAATTTAAGTTATATATTTCTACCATTCCACCCTCTTTATTCATCTAAAGTTGACTTTTTTCACTTCCTTCCTTTGGCCAAAAGCTCAAAGCAATAAAAATTGTACTTGACGACAGTTTATTGGGGGGAAATGGAAGTAGAGTTTCTTCTGGTAGAAGTGTAGAACTAAATATAATCGGTTCGCTTTTACGGTAGCAGTGAAGCACTCTGCAAGTAACAATGGTTTAAGATTTCGGACTCCAACCGTCATTTCAAATTACTGATAATGATTTTCATTTTTATACAACCTTAGACCCTAAGGTTAATAATTTGATGACATACCGTAGTTGTAATGGGTAAACATTTATTTTATATTACGTAGAGAAATAAACACAATTCGTAAAAAATCGAAACTTTTTATATATACTTTTGAAATACTTGATACTATAAAAATGTATACTGTTTTTAAGGGTTTTAAAAATGGAGTTTATATTGGATACATAGATTATGGAATGGATATTGGTAGTTGTTTTTATGACTTTTGGTCATGATACTTAACGTAAAGCTGTCGAACGTTAAACTTCAGTTCAGAAATAAGCATGCCATAAAACTGCTTTTTTGAATTAGATCAGAATTATTATCGTTATCATAGACGATTTAAAATAGGTACATGATACATATTTTATTATATATTAAAGTCCATTAATTTAAATAGCAATAAGAAATTTGTCCTAAAGTAATATTAAACTGCAGTACTATTTATAATTAAGGTATACTGTATAGGTACAACAAACTTGAAACTCAACTTTTAACATTATAGTTACCCGTAATATTTTAATTGTAATGTGCATGTACTTGATTGCATTATTTCGAACATAATTGTATTGAATGTTAAAATTTTTTGTCCCCGTAATTTTTAAATCTGAATTTCCCATGGTAATATAGTATTGTATGTTTGAAAGTATAGGTATACGTATACTGGGAACATACATTTACACAAGTTTATAATATTAAAAGTTAAAACCACAATATCTTTGAATATTCCGTCGATTTTCTTACCTCAAAGGCTAGTAATAATTAATAGGAGTCCACCTCTGTAAAAATTCAATGACTTATTTATTATTTAAAAAAAAAGGGGAAATGTATAAATTGGATACAAAATCCGCTAAACCCTGTCAGAAATTCATAGTGACCCAGTGGGCCTGCAGTTTACATATCACACATGTGTATTTCCTTTTATATATTTCACAATCTATAGTATGTTAATTAGGTAAATGGAAAATCGGTAGCTCCAATTTTAAATCTAATACAGATATTCTAGTGCAGTTTTTTAATACAATATATGACTAATAGCCCCATTTTTACAATGGTCTAAAAATAAAAAAATGCTCAAAATCTTTTCTTTCAACTTTCATTTTCAAAAATACTGCATAATATTGTAAATAATTGTATGTATTAAAATCTTTAATAACTAATGCTAATTCAATAAGTAATTAATACCGCCCTGCTCCTTGATATTGTATATAATATTTTATATAATATTGTTCAATATGTTCATCATAAACTGCTCTGCACGAGTTAGTTTTATAGGATCACGATCTTTGTAATGTAATTATGTGCTGTAATTAAAAAATGTGCAAGATATTCCCAACGTCAAGTTAATTTCGTTACCTACTGTATAGTGTATATTATATACTTTGTATACAATGTAGAATATTAATTTTTCCCGTTTGGTTTTATGTTTTATCAAACATATAATTCATTTAATTTTATCTACGATACGTTTAAATTACATTTTTAACATGAACTTTGTATATTAAATGATTAAGTTTTTCTCAAAGTTTGGAAAAAAAATAATTGTGTCGGGTTTAAAACTTAATGAATTCGTATTGAATCTTAAAACTATTGATGTATTTAATTTATAAGTAAATAACTTCTATCATTTAACAATACTGAATATCATTAGTAAAATAAAACAATACCATAATAATATACTGTTTATCTGTATATCTGTTAGTGTGAAATGGTTAAAAAAAAAAGCCACAAGAAATAAGAAACTCTAACAATTGGAATCATCTTGGAGGGATATTATTTATTTATATATGAAGGTCTCTGAACACCGAATCCTTCCACTATAAGCCTAGACATTTTGTTGAATAGGGTATAGTAGTAATACCCAACACTGCTTATATAGTCATGAAAGCATGAATTTCAACTTTGATTTAGGGTATTGTCTTAGATAAACTCAAATATTTATAAAATTCTTCTGGGTATATTTTTCATAGACATTTTTTAACGTTTTGAACTTTGACCTTAAAAGGATACAACACAACAAAAATATTAAATATTATTTATTTAAATTTTAAAATGTTTCTAAAAACATTGGTCCTCTATTTATCCTTTTAATGAAATTATTTTTGGTACCTACCTATGTTATCTAATCTCTATTTATTGATGTGTTTCGGCTTTTGTGATGAATGCAATATCTTTAAGTTAGCATCGTATTTATTAGTAAATAATGATATATTAATATTAAACTAGGTACAAGATGTTCTTGAATATAATTTAAATAACATTTAAATATATAGAAATATATTTAAAAAAATCTAACTTGAAGTGTGTATTTGGAATTAGAACAGTGTAATAGTATATTCAGTAATTAAACTCCTGAATTATAATACTGATTTTTATTTTTAACGCACAATTTTAAATACTTTATGCGTATTGCGTAAGTATATATACCTAGTAATTATGTTTTATCTAACAGAATTGTTAACTAGAATTATCCTCGCAAGTCTCAACAAGTATATCAAAATCAAAATAACTTATAATTATTTAATTTTTATAATTAATTGTTAAATATAATATAATTTAAACATGTAACATTCAAACTAAATTTGAACTGAATTTTCTTATTAATTGAGTGCTAATATTGTATTTTATCTAACCTAGTATTAAAATAACATGTAAATATAGGTAATGTAAGTATAATTGGCATTATTGTAGCCTATAGCGCGTTGCGGAAGTGGTGTTACGGATTAATCAATCCTAATGAATAATGATTAATGAACTGAAAATATTTTATTAGGAAGCACTAAATTAGTACTATGAAATTTAAAACATTTTTATAAAAATATAGCATTAATATATAATAAATATTTTTTCATTTTATGAAGTGTATGCTGTGCATACACAGCATACGCATATGCTACTCCACTGATTGTAGCTGAATCTGTTAAAAATGATCAATAAAAAAAAAATAAGTTAAAAAAAATAAGTTTCAAATATTTAAATGTATTAAAAAAAAACTGTATATTAAACGATGATTTAGTTAAGTAAAAATAATTCGACTATATATTAAATATTGTAATAACTGAACTATCCGGTATGGTAGGAAGAATTTCATCGTACCTTAAATCTTAATAAATATTAAATTTTATATATTTAGAATTTTTCTGTAAATTGTCTTAGCGCATAATACGATTTGAATATATCTGGTGCGTTTTTCTTGTTGAAGTCTATAATCCGTTTTCTCCCCTATATGCTATGTAATAATATTACATATTATTATGTATATTTCTTTTCGTTTTATTTTTATATTTTATTTATAACACTTGAACATTTCTTCGTTTTCCACCTCCACTCCGCGTCTGTCTGGAAATTATAACGCACCCTGGAACTCGTTAATTGCGCTTAAGCACAGTGCAACGTTCCGTGTTTTGCTAGCAAAAACCACGAGTGTCAC